AAGCATTGGATATGAGTTGGCTATAACTAATCTTGCATCTAACAAGAGCAAATGGAGTGATTGCTTAATTCAATTCTCTGCCTTTCATTAATGCTAAGAGAGCTATGTGAATCTGTTTTAATTCTAAAATTTAAAACACTTGGGTGAATTAGTTTCCATATAATGTGATTCAGTGCATGGGCTGATAACCAGAGTTGAGTGAACCAATCAGAGCATTAGAAGTCAAATATTGGGAGTTGAAAATTGTAAAATCAGTATTATTCCTAATCCAACTCATCTGTGGTATCCCAACAGCATTATTTGTAACTCATAAGTAACATGATGAGCTTTGCACTGGAAAAATTTTTTATGCAAAAAAGCTGGCTGGACATTGAATGTGCAGCCAGCTAATTTGCAAAAGTAATTCAAGCCAAGGTTTGACGCCCCTCGGTGGCATGAGGTGGTTGCTGAACATTCCAGGACATCCAATAATCACCACAGAAAAGTTAATAATAAGCTCCCCTCAACTGAAATAAAAAAACCACAATTTCCAATAATATTTTAAATCATTTCCCAGATACAACTCTACTTTGTTTGCTTATTGTCTAGAAACATTGAAATAACCTAAGGGGCAGTACGCTAAGCTTATTTTCTTTGTAGAAACAAAGCATATCTTAAAGAAGACAACAGTAAATCGTAAACACAAGGTCCACAAACAGTCCTGGCCAAATGTTACGGCAACATCTAACAAGAACAGTTTATAACACGTAAAAAGAAGAAACTCAAAAATAGTCTCACATGTGGCAGCGGTAAAGCTGATTTCACCTCCATATTCAAAGGCCAAGGCCTATTTAAGACTAACTTCAACAAACCCTTCTTTAAACAGGTCATGGTTTTGAACCTTTAATTAAAGTCCAGAAACTGTGTTGATTGGATAATCCAGAGAATACAAATCACTTTCAACTCAGGGACGGTCTCCCTGTTCTGTCTAAAAACTTTGGCAGAATACAACTATTCTTATAATGACCTTTTAAATGCAAAGGTTTTGGAACAGCATTTTTAGCTTTTCCAAAGACAACACTCTTGCCAAAATTGACTATAACAAGGTAGAAACTGGTCTTCATATTTCTCTAAAACAATGTTATTGTATTTTAGGTCATTGTGAGCAAACTCACACTTATGAATATTGTCTAACATGACTGCTGTGTAAGGAGGGTGAAGAAGAGCTTAAAAATAACTGCAAGGTATACACTACCCAAGAGGGTATAAGATAGATTAAAAATAACCCTCAGTTATACACCACCCAAGAGGGTAAAGGAGAGATTAAAAATAACCCTCATGTATACACTACCTAGGAGAGTATAGAAGAGATTAAAATTAACCCTCAGGTATACACTACCCAGGAGGGCATGGAAAAGATTAAAAGTGACCCTTAGGTAGACACTACCCAAGAGGGTATAGAAGAGATAAGAAGTAACCCCTAGGTATACACTACCTAAAAGGGTATAGAAGAGATAAAAAATAACCCTGAGGTATACACTACCCAAGAGGGTATAGAAGAGGTTAAAAGTAACCCTCAGATATATACTACCCAGGAGGGTATAGAAGAGATTAAAAGTAACCCTCAGGTATACACTACCCAAGACAATATAGAAGATAGTAAAAATTAACCCTCAGGTATACACTACTTTAGAGGGCATGAAAATAGAATTCACACTTATTAATATCAGGAGACTGCTCTTTGTCTGGACTCTTTCTTGTCAGGCATCCACTGTTAACTTATATAATCTTTATCCTTTACTATATCTTGAATGTCATTGTCAAGCTTGGCTATTCTTGACTGACATCTTTGCAATTATCTATGATTATTTGACAAGAGGCATTTCCCACCTAAAGTGTATGGTCAAGAGCAATTTTATTTACCGCATCAACAACAGGGTTATATTTTGAGACCTCATGAATCCATCTGCTGGAAATTCTTGCTGTCTAATTGGTCCAGCACAGATGAACATGAACATAAAACATACATGTTGTTTGTCTACCTAATGTTGAACAAACAGTCTTTTTTGGTGTGCTTGAGACCTGCTGGCAGGACAGAACATATTGCAGTCATCAAGGAATAGGCCATTTTACAGTTGTGTACTTAGTTGCCAAGCCTTTGATTTGGAGTGAGGCTGAAGGTGACCTTGTTGTGTTAGAGACCAGAATCTAGTTAGCATGATAACAAATTAATTTGCATTTCAAAAGCAGTAAGGTTTGTATCATAACAAGGTCACCCTTAGCCTCACTCCTGTTCAAAGGCTTGGCAACCAAGCACACAACTGTAAAATGGACTATTGACTGAACATTTTGTTCTTTGCAAAAGCATTTTTCCTGAATACACAGTAACTTTTCATTAGCACATTACAGTGCTTTTGCAGTCGAGATTAGATCCCATAACTCCAGAAAGCTCAGCCGATTGGTCAAAGACTTCATGAAGAGATTGTGTCAAGTGGTTCTGATCCAAGATTTTTTTGTGTTTTCTTAAATGAAATTTGTGTGTAGAAGAAGCATTAAAGTGAACCTTTAACTTATAATAAAGAGGTTTCTGTAACCCCATAGACACCTACCCACTACAAGCCTTGACATAATTCTCTACATTGATGACAGAAATATAGCATCTCTGTAGAATGCATGCTTTTTGGGGGGCCAAAGCTCCTCATGAGATGTCATTTGTTTTACTTACAACCAGCACTTTTTTTAAAGCAACAAAAACTTTGGTGTCAAAATTGATTACTGTTAGAAATTTGAACCATTTCTCTGTACCTGATTGACTGGTTCATCAAGCGACATGGTTAAATTCTGTTTTATAAAGGTTTTTTCCTCTTCAGCAATAGAACTGTAAATGGAAAGTACAAAAACATCAAATTCACATAATGCCAGATGAATGACCATAATTATATTAACATTTACTTGAATAAGTAACAGTAATCATAAATATTTGTAGATTTACTAAAACTATACATAAATAGGTGGGTCAAGAGATAGAAAATTCATGGAGACTTCATAACCATGAGTGCATGAGCCCATGAGTGAGCACTCCAAACAAGTCATGTAGTGAGATATTGAGTTGAAGATAGGGAAAGAAATTCTGTACCCACAAGCAACCATGTCTTTTTTTAATTTATTACATAAATGCAATAGGCCTTTACACATTTAAATCAGCCGGTGGCAAATATTACCATTGTTGATTCTCTTTCTCAGCTGTGAGAAATGCTATGATCAAAGCCTAGTCACTTTCAGTTTCTCTTTTGGTGTTTTGGTTTGGTTTGTGAGTGATAAAAGTATTTCAGTGTTGTTTGTGGCCAATTAATTCAAGAAAATTTCCACACACAACCTTGGACTGAGAATTATGAATCAGCCTTGCCATTGATTAATCAACCTGACAGATTGGTGCTATAGGCCACTGATGTGTCAGCACCTGATTGGTAATAGCAAACATACATAAAAAATTATGATGGTCAAAATTTTACATGTGTGCAGTTACAGCTTTTCCCAGGGCTAGAGATCCCTGTAAAAAAACACCACAGTTTATATAATAGAGGAAATGCTTGAATTGATATTAATTAAAGCATGGGATAACAGTCTTGGAAATTACCTATCCAGTATCTCTTGTTCATTATTCTAGACGACTGTTATCAATCCCAACCAACACTTAACTAATTAAAAGTCACTTCTTTGAATATGACTCATAGGAGTGAATGTACAGTTGTAATCCATATGTATGTGCACCACTTACTGAGGGGCTGATTTCCTCCAATAACGCTCTACTCCATTTTTCATCAATACCATTGCCATCCACCTTATATTGACATCAAGTGTCTTATTTTTGAAAATTATCTTTGAAAGAAACAAGAAAATGTAAATTTCACATTTACTAGGTTTCTGTTGGTCAGATCTGACCATTCAAATTGCATCAAAAGGGAGACATTAGCAGTCAATACAAAAAAGAAAGTGTGTACATTTATATATAGGAAGTCTGTGTATTGATTTTTCCATTTTTACAGTGCTTGATATGTAGAAGTAAAGTGCAATATATGTTGTGATAGGGGAAAAAAACAGCGAGACTACACTTTCATCCCTACAAGCCTGTTTCGTGAGTGAGCAATCATGAAACAGGCTTGTAGGGTGAAAGTATAGTCTCACTGTTTTTTTCCCCTATCGCAACATATATATATATATATATACACAAAAAGTACCCTCTTTATTTCACCACATCAAAATACACAAGTACCTACAAACCTAACTTTATTGAAGCGCTTTGAGTAAAACAGGGTAATTCTTTATCATCAACTTAACAGCAAGGATATCTCATCAGCAATAAAAATTCATCACAAAAATAAAAAGTTGCATAAAAAGCTAGTTAGTGATAATGTAGTCACTCCACTCCATATAATTGTCTCTGTGGTCCAAAATGTCAATGCTAAACTGACGTCATCTGCGAACCATTAGTGTACGGACGCTTGACAACATGGAATCAATTTCTTAACTGGGAAAAAAAATGCTCTACAAACTACATAGTATATTGCATCATAAGGAAGCCCAAACGAATGTAAACTTGTAGGTGTACGTAAACTGCATCCACCAAATGTCAATAAGGATAGAAATAGCTAAATTGTAGCCCGTTCGGTATCCTATAACGGTTTGATCGAAAATTTCTACATTCCATAGTCACTTAATGATAGAGTGGAGACCAAAGCGACTCTTACCATGAGCAAACTGTAGTACCCTGGTTCTCTTTCCCATGATTTAAGCTTATCCTCTGCTTCCTTTGTAAGTGAGGGATTTTGGCTGCATGCATGGTTTAGTGCAAGCAATAACGCGTCTCTCCAAGCTTCATTCATTCTTTCTTCATCCTTTGAGGCTGCTATTAGAGAAAATATCGAACTGCCTGGGACATACTGTGGATCATCTTTGGATGGTTGGCTACATTTCCTATTTCCTTACACAAAGTAGTTACCACTTATCATACCAAGAAGAAAATGGCGGTAAATTCAAGGAGAGATTCGAAGAGAAGTGAATTTCCTTTACCTCAATTTGAGGAAACTTTTCCAATTGTGTTCCAGTGTAAAAATTGTAATAATATACTCGGCGATTCTTGCGCATGGGTTTCTTCTGACCGAGATCTTGAGATGATCTGCATAAACAGTAAGTGGTTTCTATGTTAACGTTATTAGCATTATTCTTATTTCCTTCATGATATTATTGTGGTTGTCTTGTGAACTCTTATCAAAGGAAGCTCTTTGAATTCCTAGAGATTTACAAATGAGTATAATTTTTTTTGAAATAATACTTCTTTTGTGACGAGAATCAAGTTGTTAACTTCATTAATTCCTGCAAGGCAGGTCACACTCATTGAGGAATAGACTGCAGTTTCTATCGGTTTCCCAGGATATTATGAAATAACTGAGAGACTACGAGCACCCTGATTGGTCAAAAACGTATCGTTTATTGCACCGGTAAACCGATAGAAAATTTAAAGATTCTTTTTAAAGTAGTAGAGCGCACTTTATCCGTTTAGCGGCGAATTTATTCACTTGAGACTGGTGGGGGACGGGGGAACAGGAGCCCGAGAGATCGGGGGGGGGGGGAGAGAGAGAGTGGGAAACGGAATTTATATGAGGAACGAGAGCGGGAGCGGGAGCAGAAATTAAAATGGCACTTGATTGCTATTTATCACTAATTATCATCCAGCCAAAAACCAGTGCCTAGCAAAGTTTTTTTGCTTCTATGTAATGTCCACCAAGGCTTAAAATAAAACTTTATAATCAAGAAATACCGTGGAAGTAACTTTTTCTCATGCTGAAAAAAAAAGCATAATACCAGTGAAAGTGGATACCTATCAAAGTCGGTTATGTGATAGGTCATTAATAAAGTTAGGGGGTGGTAAGTTTCCAAAGAAACTGTGGTACTGTGTCGGTGGGAGAGTACAACAGGTAATTTAGTGTTAACAACTGGGTTGAAAATGTAAATTGACCACCATAAAGAGTTTAAAGGTTAATTTTTTGAGTGCTAGCCCTTTGTCACAGCAATTGACAAAGGGCTAAAACATCAGCCTTTAAACTCTTTACGGTGGTCATTTTACATTTTCAAATCGGCTGTTAACATTAAATTACCCATTAATGAAGCTGTTATTGTGGCACAAGCTGTATCAGTCAAAATTCTCCAATGATTAAAGCAAGTCAGGTCAAATGTCACCAGGGGTTATGTTGATCAGCCTTGGTATTTTTTGGTGCAGCAATGAAAACCATGGAAGACTTCATTTCTGCAAATGTCTCAGTTTGTTAAAATCAGACAGTCAAAAAGCTGCATAATGGCATTGTATGAATGTATGTACAACTCTCTGTTGCTAGATGAGGTTTAATTTAATAACACTGTACCTTAACGATAACACTAGAGATAAGGAAAATAAACAACATACAGTTACTAATGCATTTTCCTTCATATTCATTTACTGAAAATGCCCTGCAAAAAATGTAGGAAATGGCATTCCTAGACCCTAAATTTGAAAATTTTCTGGGGGAACGTGCCCTCAGACCCCCTTAGTTTGGAGCCCCTATGCCACTCAATATTTTCTACTTATCTGTACACCTTAAAAATCTCACCCAATGCCCCTGGTTCTAAAGAAGACTTCAATTTCTTAAAAAATCTGAACAATGACCAGCCAAACAATGATATATACAATGATGTTCTACCAGCACTTAAACTTAACCCTCAAAACAATATCAGTTTAACAATTCTTTGGCAGAATTGTTTTAATGGTATAGTTAGTAATTTCATTTGTCAATACATACAAACATTTTGTGCTTTATTATTTATTATTATTATAATATTATTCAACTATCATAGAGGTCAAGTTGGGTATTCCGATGTAAACATGCTAAAAGCACATTTAATGTTCAAATGAAAAAAGATGAAACTCTTATGTTAATCATTAAATAAAGGCAGCTCAAGAATGATGGTCAAAAGGGTTCAAGGTCTATAGGATTTCAATTAACAGGCAGGCAGTACTGACTCTCAAAGAATCTGATGTGATGACTGGTAAACTAGACTCTTTGTTTTAACCTTGTTTCTGACATATCACAACAAATCACAATGCCTTATAACAACAGCAGTTACATGAACATTTTGTTGTTTTCTGTAGTTTCTTTTATCACTAAAGTGCTGAGCAGCCTTGTATTATTTTACTGAAGGCCTCAGGGTCTGGGCACAAACCAATGTAATATCAAAGTTCCATATGCTTGTTTCTCCTAATAAAATTCACTCTTTTTCTTGTTGACTTCACAAAGTTAATGGGAAATTAACTCAGGGAATGTGCATGAAGGAGAGTTTAGGTCTTACAGCAATACATGCCTAAAGAATGAACTTTCCTGTAGACATTTTCCAAATCAAATAGATGCACATAGTAAATTTACCATCATGCATAGTATTCTGAATGTTTTTTGTTTGTTTGTTTGTTTTTTCTTTCATTTAGAAGTAACACCATTTATATGTTCAGGGGAATGCTTGGAGACTTCGACCACAGAAAGTGATATAGGCAGGTATGCTCTTTGTTTAATAAAATTATAATCATGACAGTTCTTCAAACATCAAAGTAGCGATCAAAAATCACCATCAAAGATTCTGAGCATGTGGAAAGCAACATGTTGAGTGGCTATGTAACTCAATTTCTTGCCTGAGCCAATAAAGGCTCATTTCTATCACTGTGTGAGAACTCAAAATTTAAATTAAGAATGGATTAAAGAGAATCTTTGGTATTTGTCTCCCAATAATTCACTTATGATGTGGTTCACTTTGATTCGACTGCAATTACTGCTAGTCTTTATCAGGACATGAAGTTGACTGGATATGAGTCACCATATGATTGTGATCAGTTGGTTTTCAACAGTTGTGATTGCTGATCTCTCAACAGTAAACTGTTGCACACCTCTCCTGTTGCCATGTTTCTTGAGTATTGGCAGTCAGCCTTCAGGGATTTCTAATCTATGCTATCTGTTGAACGAGTGTGGGTTGTCTAATTTCACCAATATAAATTTTGCTGCATTCACAGTGAATCCTTTAACACATGCCATCTGGTTTAGCCAGATCAGAAGTTTCTTCCAGCCATACAGAAGTGTGAGTGCAGCTTAACTTCCCAACTTAAAACAGCCCGTACAGTTGTTGTTTTGCAGTGCTGGATAGGGTTTACGGTCAACTCGCCGACGGACCAACTCGCCGACACCAACTCGCCGAC